AAGTTTGGTAGCCGTGACAAATGAATTCATACACAAACAGACATTCTGCCATTGTTTCTTATAACTTGCTTCAAATAAATAGCCTTTATGTTATATGTACATTTATTTAAATAGATATCTCGTAAATATAATTTTTTTCAATTTAGTGAGGTAGTTTCTATAATTTCTTTATCCCCGTGCTAGTAGTATAAAGTTAGTGACACTGCGCTTTACAACCAAAGAAAACACGACTATTGTCGCATGTGTAAACGAAAAGAGAGTGTGGGTCGTTCATGTAACAGAGTGCATAAACTTATAAGATTATCTGCTTGATAAAGTTATCGGTTTAGATGAATACCACTAGTATTTTAATGTAACTTTTCTAAGCAGAAGAAAATCGAAATTTTAGTATCTCCGTTGGCAAACCGGGACACTTTGGAAAATCTAACACCACAACCGCCTATCCCTTTCCTTTCCTTTAGACAAAAATTACTTACGTACGAAAGTATGTAGCAAAATTTTATTTTGGCAAGTCAAAAACAAAACCATAAAAAGATGAGATCGTTTCAACGTACTAAAGTTCAAAATAAACATATAGGCGCCATTTCTTTATTCATTCTGAACGTTTGGAATAAACTTTTTTGTTTATTTATTCTTTAGAACGTTCCTGATGATATGTTGACGTATATTTCACACGCATTCTGTTTATTCCGGCTGTGAAATGGGATTATCCGGAATGTATAAAGAAACGCAGCCATAGTGCCGCCCAAAATTATTGGCACAATGCATTCAAAATTTGTTTGCTTTAATTTTATATAAATACATATACCGTTTATACTACATCAAAAAAAAACAAAAACAGAATTTCTAGACTTTGTGCAAAACTCGGGAAAATTCAATAAACTTGCATACAAATTTGCCACTTTCTAATCAGACTTTTTATACAAATTTTGAAAAGAAGTTTTGTGGCCCAACAATTTTAGTTCATTTTTGATAATTTTTTGCTGACAGCTTCTTCCATACAAACTATGTTCGACAATTCTTTTTGTATGAAAGAAACTGCTACATTTTCAACATTTTTCTAAAGAATCTGATGAAAAATTCTCTGAGCCAATAATTTTGTACGGTACTTACATATAAGTACACCAGGTTTAATGAAAAAAAATTAAGTACAAGATAACATTAAAAAATCAGCCATATTTTTCGTTGTTGTGAACTTTTTTCAAAACTTCTGACTTTTCCTTAATATAATTTTAAAACTCTGTGCACGTCATTTAACTCACATATGTACTTATATTGAGCAAATTTCTTTCCTTAGTCTATTGAGATGAAATAAGAAAAAAACATTGATCCACATTAGGTGTATTAAACAAGGTGTGGTTGACAACTCAGTGAGGCTCTCTTTTAAGGTACTATAACTTCAAAAAATATAAACAAATGACGCACTCTTCTGTGTAAGCGGAAAGGAATTTATACGTTCTTTTTGGCATTTCCTAAGGGTAATCAAAACACTATAAACACACATTTTTATAATCTATAAACTTTGTCGCGAAAACTTACATTGGAATTAGAACCCACCCGAAAAACAAACGAGCAAAACAAATAAAAAACAGCTGATGCTAATTAGGAAGGTCACTTTGCACTTACAGGTATGTATGTGGATATATCGATCATCAAATATTGCTTGTGCAAAGTCCAACTATCTGGAGATGTAACTAAA